CATTGAAACCCAAATTGTGTCAAATACTACCAAGATTCAAGACCAGTAACATATCTCTAGACCCTGTAAATAAGACAGGATCCAATCCACAAGCCTAAACACAAACTATAAGTATTTTAAGTAATCATCCATAAGAATTTTCACAAAATATTAAAAAACCAAACCGCTAAAGATTTAAACTAAGTAGCAACAAAACCAAACTCTGAAGAAAACTTTGTACTTTGAGATCTCTATTCAACAGAGTTACCCTGAAGAAGACCATCCCTGATCTGTGTAGCAATGTCCTTAACAGCGCCTGGACCGTGAGGTATGAACACCGCGTTTGACTTCGAAGCCGCACCGATTTCCTTCAATGTGTCAAAGTACTGAGTCACCAGAACCATGTCCATGACGTCTTTCGAAGATGTTCCAGGAACAGACTCAGAGAAGGCGAGCACGCTGTTTCTCAGACCATCCACAATGGCTTGTCTCTGACGGGCTATACCCAAACCCGAAAGGTATTTCGATTCAGCTTCTCCTTCGGCTCTCTTGATCTGCAGTATCTTCTCTGCCTCGGCTTTCTCACTCGCTGCCTCTCTCATCCTCGAAGCTGTTTGTCCCCAGAAACAGAACAGAAACATGTTAAAGATTTTCACCAAATTAAAGTCCAAAACTTTGTATATCAACAAAAGAGCATACCAGCATTGATCTCATTCATTGCCCTCTTGACATGCACATCAGGCTCGATATCCACAATAAGCGTCTGAACAATCTCATACCCGTAATGCGACATAGCCTATTATAACACAATAGCAGATAGAGTCAATATGTAATCTGTAGTTTCTGTAAAGCTTTTAAAATCTTGCTCAATGAGATGGATTGAAGGTGGTTTACCTTTTCAAGCTCCTTTTCGACGGTTTTTGCAATGTCATCCTTTTGCTCAAAGGTTGAGTCAAGATCCAGCTTAGGTACACATGCTCGGATCACTTTAAGCAACAAATTAACCAATGATGGATGAATTAGTTATAATCAAGCAAACACAACAACATCAAGGAAGGAAAATGTAAAACAAACCATCAAAAACATAAGCTTGAATCTGATTCCTCGTGTTGCTAAGCTTGTAAAAAGCATCTTGAGCACTCTCAGCTAAGGCACGGTATTGAATGGAAGCAACAACAGTGACAAACACATTATCCT